ACTACCCGGTATTGCCCGGGCTTTTTATACCTAGAACATCTAAACTTAAATTGTCACAAAGTGTCAAGGGAATGAAATCGGGAGCAGGCGATATCCAGAGAATGTCCAGGTTTCAGTCTATATTTTCCGGGAAATCCCAAATAGTAAATGTACAAAATTTGGCTCAGATTGATCAAAGAATTTAGAACTTTATAGGAAATATACAGACAGATATTCTATTTTATACATATATAGGTCGTTGTATTACAATAGAAGATAATTTGTAGAATATCCTGTGTACTCCTAAAAGAGCAAGATACAAAAAGCAAGGTACAGAAGATGATTTCACTGGCCTGGCTTTACGTAACTTCACTGTTCACCTGAGATAAGTGTAACATTGCATAAGCCACCCCTCGTTAGTCGGCTGACATCGTGAGCTTTTGCCGCGTAATGAAACGTTAATTTTTGATGCGAACTGGAAGCAAAGCTCACGAGAGCCTGCTAATTGGAGCGAGTCGCGGATGACGTCGCTTGTCACAAGACAGGCGGTTTCCTCATAGAAAGACATCGAGCGCCAGCCAATTAGCCGTCTGCGTTGCGTCGAAGAAGACGCGACCCTTAGGTAAACGCAAATAAGTGACTTGGGAATTCTCGAATAGGCGAACTCGCGCTCAATGAGCGTAAAAATGATGGAGGATAGGCAAACGTCGTGGTGAAACGTCAGAAACGAATAGCGAAGGAAAGCGAGGGGGACGAATTGCGGTGAATGCAGAAGAAAGACAGAGAGAGATGGCACAGTTTGTGGCGCGTTTACATTTAATTAATTAGTCGGTCAACGTCGGCATCTTCCGCTAATGCGGAGGTACGAGAGAGGGCCACGGTGGGCGGGACGCAAGTTTAAGCGTGTTTCTTTCATCTCCCTTCGCAAAGCTGACCGTTGTTGGCATGAACCGCGCGACGTTATCGCGAGAGCGAGCGAAGATTTATCTTGCTTGAGTAATGAAGGTGCGCCAAAAGTGAAAGTTGACTTAATGAAAAAAGGTACAGACGTTATTAATATAGCGGTTACGTGTATTGAGCGTGTGTGGTATTGAGCGTCCTTGTTTTCTTTTTCTCTCGTCACTTTTAGTTTTCTTCTTTGCTTGAAACTCAGATTCGCGGGATGTTTAATAATCAATGTCCATAAGTCGAGGGCGTTGTTTTTTCGTCGCGCGGCGAATCGACTTTCGTCCCCCGATACGTTCGAGAACAACTTCGAGAAGGTGTTTCTGTCACACGCACATGACGAATAATCGAGAAACAAATCTATCTTCGAGAGGCAGTTCTTTCCAACCAATCAGTTTGCTGAATTTGCATCTCGACTGTCGCGACTCTTGCATATTCCGCCTCACGGTGGTCGGTATTCTGGCGTTAAGTTAATTATAAAAGCGAATTTTCGCATAACTATCACTCGGAAAGCAAATTCAGCCGTTCTGCCTATTTCGCGGTAGCAGCTATTGGAATTTCCGGTCATATTCGAGTGAAACGACTTCCTCGTGTATCTACGGGCTGGTTCCAGGCGACTATTAATGCGTAACGGAGTCATTAAGCGCGAGATTCGTTCCTCGAAGTCGTCTCTCGTCGCGGAGTCGACGCTCCTCTTACCGCCTCACGGCTTTAAATGCGTCGTAAAATCATCGTTGATCACGTAAGCGACCTTCGGCGCTCCACGCCGTCGCCATCCGACGTTCGACGATCCCGATTGATCTATTTGTGACGCGTGTATACGTTCCTGTACACGCAGTTGTCCGCGGATTTATAGACGTTTATGTCTAACGACGACGACGACGACGACGGCGACGAGCGAAGCGTCAAGAATACTCGCGCGTTCGTTTCTCCCATGAAATATTTAACGATGAGGAAGATTTTACTGCGTGCTGAGAGCAGCACAACCCAACCAACTGAGTAATCCGTGAGTCATCTAACGAGTCGAGATCGATCGCACAAGGTGGGGAAGCTCTTCCGCGAGGAACACACATCTGCTCGCCGAACGAACTTGCCATTGCACCTCTGAGAGACGAAAATGCCTACGCGCGTGCTCAGATATAGCGCAAATGTGCAATTAACATAATGAGCTCGCCCACAGAATACCCACGAATCCGCTGAAGGTGTCATTAATAAACGCCTCTGTCGAGAGAGAGCACGCGTCCTCGCCTCCGCGCCTTTTATATCTCTCTCTCTCTTTCTATCTTTCTTACTTTTTCCCACAAGTACGAAGTTTGATGTTGAAGTAACAAACGCGCGCATGTTTGTCCTCTTTCCTCGACGATTTCTAGCCCGCAACGGAAGTCTCGCGTGAAGTTCCCGCACGGGCTGAATAGTCTCCATCGCGCTTTTCGCCCGCCGAATCCACCCTCTCGCCTTCGATTCCGCGAGTAATTAGAGGGAACTTGCTCGTCGGGAGTGCGCTCTATCTAACTCCTGAGGCCCCACCTATCAAATTTAGCTCGCTGTCGCTTTTGGCGAGGTTACTCGCCCCGCGGCAAGAGCGCAAACTTTTAATTTATTTAAAACCCCGCCGCGGTAGCCGAAAGGTCCTCCCCTGCGCGAGGGAGAGGAGAGAGAGAGCCGGGCCCTGTATATCCTCTAATGAATTCTTATTCGATCCCGCGGAATTAAAAAGGTCACGAATGAACTCTGTCGGTGTGCAAACCTCCCTTCCTTCCCCCCGCCTTCTTCTGCGTCGAGGAAGCGGCGTGTACACGTGGAGCTGAAAGCCCGGAGGGGCATCGGAAGACTCGTGAAAAACGTCCTACTGAGCTTAAAAAAGCGAAGCCGAAGGGGCGCGTGTATCAGAAGTTACGTTTATCAGGTGAAACGCGGCAGTTTTCAGCCACGGCTTCTGTCCTCCCCTCTGCCCGTCCTTGCCTCCACGACTCGTTCGTCTCCCGATTTTATACTCCACTTTCCTCTCGTCGTATCTTCTCTCCTATTTCTCTCTCTCTCTCTCTCTCTCTCTCTCTTTCTTTCTTTCTCGTATGCTCTCGCTCCTGTAGACTCACACGATCACGTCGCTGGGCATCGATCGGGCTTACACAAGCCCTGAAATCCCTACGAAGCGCGCGCGTCTCGGGTTTCCGCGCGGATTAACTTTCGGAAGCGGAAGCCTGCCTCGGGAGATTGCGGTCACGCGAGCCGGAAGAGCTCGGGCATTCATGCGAGAGTACGAACGGTAGGTGTTCCGCGCTCTGTCCTTGCCGATCAAAATGCATTGGGATCTATTTTTATAGGGTCATTCTGGATAACAAGATACTGTATTTCGCACGCTGAACGCATCGGCGATTACGTGAAATGCACTCCGGACGTATAAGTCGACTCCTCTCGCACGTAGAATATCAGACAGTAGTCGGGAAGGTTCGAACGCGGCGACCTCATCAAGTCGGATATCTGATCGGTTTCGAGTACGCACGATGACTTTGAAACCAATTGGCGACTTTGATATTCGCGGAAATTCACTTGGCAGGAGAATTTTTGGAAAGAATTGTAATTTCTCCTCATAATTTTTATTATTGATTTGCGCGTTTTCAGAACATGTTACTTAATCATGTCGAATAATCGGGTCGGATATTTTATTGAAAGGAAGGGCCAATGGCGATCCAATTTCCCATAATTTCTCGCAACTCGCTCCGTGCGTAGCAAATATTAGCGCGTGAAATTTATATCCAATCTGAAAGAGCAGCCAAGTCTCTGGGTTTCTTTGAAGGGAACCCGGCTCTCGTAGAATTTAATGCCGGTGCACCGAAGCCGGGCGGACGCGGCAAAGGAGCCGCGCGATTCGCGAATATGCCGCAGACATTTCCCCGTCTTCGCAGCGAGCAATCCGCTAATACATTTCTCGAGGTATCATCTGCCACGTATTAAGTGGGTATGTGCTTTTTACGCGTCTGCCGGAGCTGCTTCTCGTTTGAGATCAAAGTGGATACGTCATATATGTCTCTGTCTCCTCTCTCACTCTTTCGTCTTTCTTTCTTCTGCCTCTCGTGAATGTCTCTTTGCGCGCGAAGCAACGAAAAATCGCCCCTCGTATTAACCCTTTCGCACCTAATAACAGTTGTGAGAAATTATGAAAATTGGATTGCCCTCGTCTACCTCGAAGGAAATGCTGATGTAGTTATTTAATATAAGCAAACTTGTTTCGTAAAGAGAGTAGAAATTAAAAATTAAGATTCTTTCTGAAGAGAAAGAGAGTTCCCCTTGCAGTGTGAATTTTTTAAAGTATCGAAGTTTACTTCGTGATCGCAAGTTATCTTCGTGATATATAAACAGAATACAGAGATAATTCCTTATTAAACAAAAAAGAAAAGTAAGAATGTAAAGTAACATTTTTAATATATAAAGTTTTATTTTCGACAATATTAATCTCTTGAACATTGAGAAATTAACAATACTGTTTCTTTCGGATGATCTTTGCGGTAATCATTAAATTCATTTTGGCAGTCGTTGTTAGAATATATAAATAAAATATAACGTTCTATTAACAGAAAAAAATCGAAAATAATATAAACTGTATTATGAGTAAAAGGTAAAGAATATTTTTATCTTTATACAGATAAAAAATACTTTTTCATTCATATCTGACAACCGCACGCGCTGTCATGATATATTTCATTGATAAAGACAAATGTGTAGGCAAACTTTTCTAAAGCGTGGATATTTCTGTAAAAAGTGAAAAACCTAATGTGTGACACATCTATAATTGAAAAGATATGTACTAAAGAAAGATAACCAAGCAAAAATCCTATTGATTTTATTTTATATTCGTTATATTGGAAGTAATTAGATTCTCAATTACTGATAAGAATTGTAATCTTATCTTATCATTATCATATCATAGCTATTTAAAATCACGTTAATCGACTGTTAATAATTAAATATAAGTAAAACGGATAGGATGAATAGAACTCGTATAATAAATTAGATTTCAGATCTTTCTTATGTTTAAATAGAAATGAGAGCATTTGTGTGGTTCATTGGCGAATAAATATGCGATAAGGTTTATTTCCTAAGAGCATGCGTAAATATATTTATAACAATTTCAGTAATACGGCTAATCTGCCCGTCGATAACATTAACGGAAATTGCTCAAGACAAATAGGTATTTCGCCGAGTCATTAGGTGTATCGACGATTCCACAAAGTGTAAAATTCTTCACTTTTAAGTCGATCGTTAAAACATGTTCTTTCTCTGGCTTAAAACGTATTTTCACTCTGGTTTCTTAATGTCAAATATTGAAAGCTTTAAACATGAAAAGCAAAGAAGCTATGAGATAAACAATAAGATAAGCTTGAATACAAGTCGAAGCTTTTGAAATTTTGCAAAATAACGGGATGTAATAAATAATCGTGTAAATGCAACAGTACTTATTATTGTTTAGGAAATAATTATTGTTACAGCTCGCTCTCAGGTTTTTCACATAGCATGTAGATAAACGTATTTGCCGCACGCGTCCTGATATAAAATCTCTTGCGAAGTAAACAATCAATTGAGTGTTCGTTAGCAATGAATTGTAAAACACGATGGAAACATCCCTGGGAATTGTTTCGTGCACAGCCAGGTAAACCATGCAAATTTTCTCGTTAATTTAAAATTTTTCATTTACTACACGAGGCAATTCACTCGCATGTATCACTCGGTACGCAGCTATAAAATCCTGTGATTCGTTTCACGGTGTCGGCAAATATCTCGGCGTATCTATATGCTAACAAAGAATATCAATCTCAAGGTCCTATCAATCTTAATTAATCATAATCAATAGGACGAAGAATGAAACAACGGCCATGATCCTCGGGGTTTTACGCGCGCAAGAATTAGGCCCATCTTCTTTTTGTTCCTTTATATTGTTGATATTCTGTCCAATTGTTGATTCTATCCAATCTTTGTAGTAAAAAACGTTCGAATACACGCCAGGAAACTTTGGTAACGCACATCCTTGGCCGCCAGAAACAACACCGGTTAAAATGCCGTTGCAAACCATACCGCCGCCGGAATCGCCCTGGAAAATATTAATAAAGTAATTATCCCGCGAATTGTACACAAAAAGGAAAAAATTGTTGTCCACTTAAAATTAATATATTCAAATTAACGATCATTGTTTCATATATAATGAACATTATGTGACTTTGTTAGAAGATTTTTGGCCTTGAATTTTAACAATGTCACAATTTTATTCGAATACTGTAACAGTCGAATACAGTAAAAAGCACAATATAGTTATCGTAGTGATAATGATATCTTCTTTCGACACTTAAAAAACCTCATACTTTCAATCCAATATTTGATGTTTCTTAGTAAAAATTATTTTTAAATAATAGATATAACAGATATCTCTTTGTTGAATCATGTAAAATATATTCTTGCGCGAATAACTTATCTTCGCTTAAAACTACATAATCTCGTTTGAAAATAAACATATCAAAGAAGATATTTTCCAAACTAGAATATTTGTTTTCTGTGTACACAAAAGAAAAGAATGACGTATATTACTTGACAGGCGTCTTTGCCTCCCTTGAGGAAGCCGGCGCAGTACATTCCTGGGTATATTGTCGTTATGTTGATGAGCAACTCGCGACATTCCCTCGGTTCGCGAATAGGTAGTTCTACGTACATCAGATCGTTGGACACTATGGGAATATTCTGAAACTTGAGCGTGTTAGCCCGAGAGGCTTTAAGTTTTAACCTCAGGAAACAGAGCTTTCTCGTTAGAAGCAAGTTGTCCTGCGGTTAAAGGATTTCGCTGTGTACTCACCGCCGATTGATACCCCCATCCGGACACCACGCACAATGCTTTGGGTGTAACATCAGAAGTCGGTAAGGCAGCGCTACGAACTTCCGGAGTCATCGCGAAGGGTATCGATAGCTGGAAAATCAAACGTGGGCCGCGTTCGTTTTAAAAATTATGGGAATGTTTTCAGCGATGGGTATGGTTTGTAATACACAATGAGTCATTGAACGTACTTCCAAAATGGCAACGTCGTTTTGTAAAGTAATGTTGTTAAAGCGCGGATGCAATGTGATGACTTTCACATTCCGTCTCTGACCGGCCGGAGTAATGTCGGTTAATCTCATCTCTCCGGCAACCACGAGGATAGTCCAAGGTTCGATGATACTATCACTGCATAATTGATCGCTCCGTTTATCTTACCGATCTGATTACTCCCAGACAACATAATGTTTAAAATCGGGACATAAGACGTCTTAGAGATCATCTTTAAGATGTATTTCATTACGTATTACGTATAAATGTCTTTAAAACGTTTTAAAGACTATCTTTAAGACGTCTTATGTTCCGATTCTAGACATTATGTTGTCTGGTATAATTCGCGATTAGGTTTTATACAGAACATTGATGTACAAATAAAAACAATTCATCGACGTGTCACAAACCAAGGTAATCTGTTTGTTAAGAAGTTTATTCACCTAAGCTAAAATGCTTAAAATTTTACAAACGTATAACCTAACATTCATTGAAATAAAACACTTGTGCTTAAAATTTCATACAATTTATTTACGTCGTATTTACGTCGTATTTACGTCGATTTATTACGTTTCATGAGAAACTTGTTACTAAATACCGCAATTTTTTATACGTAACATTACAATAGGAGCAATATAGATGATTATTATTCCAATTTAACTTCGTAAAAAATGACATTATCTAAATAAAAAATGTATCGTTATAAATATTACATATTATAAAATGCGGAATAAAAGGAAGAGTAGTATTGACTACATCGTTTTTATGCAATGGTCGATTATAGGCCAGAAAATTGCTGTTTTATGTTTTTGAATAGCACTGAATAAAATGTGGCAAGATGGTATCATGAAATTAGTTAAATTATTATTTAGAATAATTTTATTATCTACATTTTTTATTTATTATTTAGACAGTGAAATAAATATATGAAAACGTAATTTTGCTCGATAAATTGTGAATTTATGGGTAGCTTTCTCGGTAAATACCACTGTAAATACGCCCCTTGAGGATACCCTGAACATACATGCCTGGTGAATAAACTTCTCAAGAAAGAAACGGATATAAAATATGCTGAGTCACACAATCTACGACAAAATATTATTTTGGAAATTATAGACGCAAACGTTCGAAATAATTCAAGCGACTCACAATAATTTTCAATTAAGTTGATTTAAATCCATTTAAATTGATCATTAATTATTGACTAAATAACTTTTTGCGTTCTTTAATTATTTTCCAAATGACTTTCAGCGTATCTGGAATCAGACTGAAATCTAGCGAGTTTGAGTAAGAAATTAGAAGAAACTTGCTGAAAATCAAGGTGTACTGTTGTTCTTGTAGTAAAAACTACAGTTGTAAATTGCAAAGTTTAATTTTTGTTAGAGCAAACACGATGTGTTCACTGGACATAGAATTTCCTAGAATTAAATTAATGGCGAACTAAACTGCGCATTGGAGCATAGAGTTAAGATACTTGAAATCGCGATCTACCGAAGATACATGCAGTGACCCGCAGTGAGGACTAATTTGTCACTGATGATACTTCCGCCGCAAAAATGACCCTCGGACCAGCTGCGCTTCAAAGACACCTAAGAAAAGCGCACATGCTATCAGATTCACGTTCGATTAACCTTCTAGCCGTGCGTCTTTTTTGACCCAGAGCAGTTTCAAAGTTCACACAGTTTTTGTAATATTCTAAATACAAATGTGATACTTCGCGATTTTTCGAGTTATTTTAAAAAAAGTCAGTACATATTGTACTAAATTACTTTATATAATGCTAAAATAAAAAATATAAAAAAATGTCAATTAAATAGTGAGTTCTCACCATTAGGTCTATTTAGATCTTGAACATGGTCAAAGTATACCCGAAACGAACACGGTTAGAAGGTTAAAGGTCAATCGACGAGTGTTACCTGATGAGGGAATTGCATCGAAACGGCCTTGGTCCCGTTGACTATACGACCGGTTAAACCATAAGTCGTCAAATTCATGAAGCGACCGGTATAATGTTTCGCCGACAAACCTGATGCACGAATCATCATCCAAATATCGTTACCACACTGTGCACACCGTGTATCGCGCTGTCGCGAAATGAAATCTAAATTGCGCAACGACAAAAGGATTGGCCAGTAGAGCGGAACTCGTAATATTCCACAACGCACGAATCGGTTATCGCATTATTCACGCCGTGAACGCGAAGACTATGTTCCGGGATGCATGTATTCCACGGTAATTATCGGCGAGTTAAACGAAAAATTAATTAACCGTGACGATTTTATCGGAGCGCGACCCTCGCGAATTTATGATTCGACAATGCACATTATTAACGCAGCTACGCAACACGAAATTCCCATTTACGGAAACGCACACCAACAAACACGCTGTCTCCTCGAAGCGCGTCGCGGAAATTCAAATCGGTCACGTTAACGGCACTGATGATATTTACCTTTGTACTCACCATACGTGAAATACGCGAGCACCAAAAACACTATCAAGTATAACGTAGCTACTGTTATTTTTGCCATTATTTTCATATTATTTAGTGAGTCTGAAGTATTCACTCGAGCCTGAAATGCTCACTCGACCGTTTACGAGTGAACACTGCCTGCTCAACACTTAATCACGTCGCGCAAAGAAACTTGTTATCAGGCCAGACTCGCTTTACAGACAAAGACTTTATCGTGTGTGATATCGGCTATCGGCTATTGTTTTGCTGAAATTGATCAAGTTCTATGTCAAGCGATGTCCTACATTTTTATGAATCATTTTGCGCTCATAAGTCCATTTCCTTTGTCACAACTTGAACTTTATTTGAAGGTGAACTCAACTGTATAAAGAAATCCAACGCAGGATGAAGAGACATCACGATTGTGAATCATGCAAAAGAATATACACCAGGGTGTGGCAGTCATAACTCGATGACAGGCTTAATATTTATTAGCAAGAACGATAATGGGAACGATAGAAAGATAGTGAGAGAATGATAGCGTTTTACATTAATACGCAAATACGATAAATATATAACTGAAAGCAAAACGCATGGAAAAAACAGTATGGTTAATTCACATATAAGTTTGATTGTGCCACCAGATTGAATCAAATCTGGCACAACTAAATTTAAGTGTAGGTTAACTACACTTTGTTCTTTATTGTATAGAAATGCTCATGACAATATTAGTGCAATTTTTTTATGTAGTTATAACTTTTTTAGAAGCGGGGGAGTGAATAAAACGAAATTATTTATGAACAAATGTGGACAAATCGTGGACAAACGAATGGCATGTTAGTTTAGGGGATGGCTTTTACTTTTAAGAAATTGGCACTTCGGGATGCTAATTGTCCGTTTTTCGTGTTTCTTCTGTAAATATTCCATTTCTACTTGATGAACAAACGAGAATTATATATGAACAGACGTGGATAAATCGTTGACAACCGACTCTAATAAGTAATTCAAAGGAAAACGCTCTTATTACACAGTAATCTCGCACAATGTAGCTTCGACAACAATGTTTGCTTATCACTGATTTCTTTGATACTTATATATATATCACCGACTATGAATATCGCGAGATACTGCATACTGGATATCAGACGCGATGGGTGACGTGCTTGTCTATGATATCGAACACGTGCGCGTGCATTGACTTCGGCTTTTCGAGCGAATACCGATATACGCGAACCTGCGGCGACTGTCGATAGCGCTTCGCATGGCGCTCGGCGTCGTGGGATCAGCGGCGAAGGGCCGCGACAATTCTTCCGGAAGCCGATGAAATTACCAAGTAGGATATATGGAAATGCCCTGGAATTGACAGAATCTTTGAATTCCCCCCTCGGGCCGGGCGACCGAGTGGCGTCTAGATATCGGACAACGACGACAAGAACTATCCGGGGGTAATGAGATTCCGGGACGGAGGCTATTTCCGGTGACCGGTGCAGCGGCTGGTCGCGGGATATTCGTCGAGGACGACGCTAAACTGCGACTCGCGCGGGTGTGATTCAATATGCAAAGTGGTCGGTGCAACTCACAGCTTCTATCGACGTGACTTACTGAGATATCGTTGCTAGCGTCGCGTAAAGATCGACTAACATTGACAAGGACAGAAGCGATAAGGACTGAGTAAGCGTTAAAAGAAAACTAGATAAAATTATATGCATTCCAAGAGACAAGATAAGCGTTAAATAGATCCATCAAAGCGTTCGGAACTTCGATAACCGAGAGATAAATCTACGATTAAAGCTCTGCTATTTCTAGCGCGGTCATATTGGTTTGATGACATCAGAAACGAGAAAAGAATACCGAAAAATAGTTGCATTTTATTGCTTTATTTTTTACTTTTCCCTGAAAAACCAAATATTTTCTTAATCCTGAAACCTGTAAAAAGTACAGCAAACTTAGATATCTGGCTGATGTATCACGTAACATCGTAAAATAATTCCTGAAATAATGGTACATTTTTCGGCTGTCACGGTGGTTTGACAGCTAAGATATCAGCATGTATGAATACATTTAATTTCTCGATTTTCGCAATGTATCACCAGTACCACAGAGTTTGCTGCATATTTTACGGCTGTGAGGATCACGATAATATACACAGTTCACGGAGAAACTGCTAAATAACGCAATAAAACGTAATTATTTTTCCGAGGTGTCAAGCGAAGCCTAGCGTGAGCCTGGCCTAGTGTTAGCCAATCAGCTACGCTGACACGGCTATTTCGTGTTCTCGACACTGCTAGGCGTCAATTCAGACTTTCTGCAACGAGATAGCAGAGCCTTAATATTACGCGCTGAGAAAATAATTCTATTGAAGAATCATATGCTTTGAAATCCGAATCTTCCGCTACTTTTAAATCTTCGCGTCTTCCGAGAGCAATTATGTTTCTCGCGAAGTAACCAGAATGGATACGCAATGATGTACCTGACTTAAGCACAATCCTCTTTAAATGTTGTCTAAATTATCACTTTTACGTGTCGGTACTTTATATTAAACAGCTTTATGTTAACGATTTTTATGTTGCGCTTTACTCTACGTTATTACTCATTAGTGAAAACCTGGTAATTGATTTCGACAGGAAAAGAAATCCATGACACAGTTTGTTTGTACTTCTTTTACATCTGTTCGTGCCACCGTGCCACGTTTGTGCTTCAACAGTGAAAACATTACGAGAGTATTAAGAAATAGTCAGCAACTAATTGATCCAACCAACCATCACACATTACTTAATGCCATTCGATCGAGAATCGTTTGTGCTTACCTGAGCAATTTTTATTGGCTGTTTTACTTTGCTTTGCAAGTTGTTCAACAAACAGGAACGAGTATACAGGGTGTCTCACACTCTCCTCCGGGCATTTTGTGGGGACGTAGAACAGGTGAGGTGAACATAAAAGTCCTATATCGTTTTGCGATATTCGCAATAATTATCGAGATATTAATTGTAGAAAACTTATAAATGATCATGCAGAATATGGTAAATGAGTTATAGTAGCGACGATTGCCGTCGTGTACTTATATTTTAGGTCAAATTGAACAAAAAAGTCCTCTACCATTTTTCAAATAATCACATAGATTTTTAATTGTTAATTAAAGAAGATTATTGCACGATTTTGCGTGGTAATGCACTCATCTTCTTTAATTAATAATTAAGAATTTAAGTGATTATTTGCAAAACGGTAGAGGACTTTTTTGTTCAATTTGACCTAAAGTATAAGTACACGACGGCAATCGTCGCTACTATAACTCATTTACCATATTCTGCATGATCATTTATAAGTTTTCTACAATTAATATCTCGATAATTATTGCGAATATCGCAAAACGATATAGGACTTTTATGTTCACCTCACCTGTCGCTATTATAACTCATTTGCCATATCCTGCATGATCATTCACAAATTTTCTACAATTAATATCTCGATAATTATTGCGAATATCGCAAAACGGTACAGGACTTTTATGTTCACATCAACCCATTCTACGTCCCTACAAAATGCCTGGAGGAGAGTGTAAGACACCCTGTATATTACATTTAGAAAGAGATCGTGAAAACGAAGGATATACGTTGTTCTAATTGCGAACGACGAGATCCTAAACGTCTCTCGAGGATAATGAGAGATTCAAATTTAACGATACGTCAAAGAGAAGGAGAGAGAAAGGGGAAGAAGGCGAGTGGGCGAGGAATAGGGAAAAAGAGGAACAAAAGCAGCCGAGAAACGAGACAGAGAGAGAGAGAGAGAGAGAGAGAGA